TGCCATGCAGTCGAGCCCTGAACGCAAAGACAAGGGAAAGGCCTTCCCATGGCCAGCACTCTGGGCCACCAAGCCTCCTGCCGGCAAATTCCACTCAGTGTTTATAGAGGAAGTTAACACCCACTCTACACAGGCTTTTCCAGAAAACAGAAGACGAGGGAGAAGTTCCCAGCTTACTTTATGAGGCTAGTGCTACCCTGGACAGCCAGACCAGGCTGACACGGCCAGAACAACACAGAACCACGTGGTGTGTGAGCGGACACAAGAGTCCCACGCTCAGAGTGGATTCACTGTCTGCAAACCAGTTGACCATCTTCAGAGACGCAGAAAAGCATCTGCTAAGAAACACCAGCCCCTTGTGATAAATACTGCCTACAAACTGGGAACCGCCTGCAAAGGCACGGACAGAAAACCCACTGCAAGCACCACACTTAGCGGCCAAGACTGAGCGCTTTTGTCCTAAATGGGGAACAAGGAAGGGACGTCTTCCCTCCCCCCTCCACGCTCTGCTTACATCCTGGCCGCACAACAGGAAAGAGAAACACGAGGTGTTTATGTATGTAGGTTGGACATGAAGAAACAAAACTGTCGCCAAGACAGGACTGTTAATACAGAAATTCCAAACTATCACAAAAAAATTAGTAAAAGCGAGTGTAATAAAGTTGTGGGATAAAAAACGCAAAACTGAACTCTATTTCTATATCCTAGTAACACCTGGATAGTAAAGTGTTTAAAAAGTACCTTTTATGATAGCCCCCAAACAGTGAAATATTTAGGTGTCTCACAAAACACGTGCAGGATCTATACTTGGAGGATTACAAAATACCTAGACAGAAATTAAAAAGAATCAAAATAATGGAGAGATTTACATATTCTCAGATCAGAAGGCTCAATGTTGTTGCAGCTGTGGCCCCTCCCTAGCGGACATACCTGCCAGCGCACTTCTAATCACAATACCAGAGCTTTGTGGAAACTGACAAGCTGCTTCTACAGTTTGGATGAAAAGGCTACCAACTTAGAAAAGCCAGAACAATGTGAAGAAAGAAGGAAGCCGGAGGACTCCCACGGCGGCCTCCAGACACACAGCAGAGCTACGTCATCAACGCGGTGTCAGCAGAAGGGACACATGCACATCAGTAGAAAAGAACAGAGGCAGAACACACCTGCAGTCACGTGGTCAATTCATTTGACAGTCCTTTCCACAGACTGTACCGGAACAAGTGGATATCTACACCCACCTCGAAACTCCAAATACATCACAGACTACACCCTATAGAAAAGATGAAACTGTAAAACTTCCAGATGGGGGAAAATCTTTGTGACCTTGGCAAGGCAAAGTTTCTTTAGATCTGACATCAAAAACATGATCCAGGGGCGCCTGGGTGGCTCAGTCGGTTGAGCGTCTGACTTTGGCTCAGGTCATGCTTTCACAGTTCATGGATTTGAGCCCAGCGTCAGCTCTGTGCTTTTGGTGCAGGGTCCTTGGTCCCCCCTCCCCTTCCCCTGCTTGCGCCCTCTCTCTCAAAAATAAACAAACAT